TTTTCTTCCATCAGTCTTTACAGGCCATGCTCTCCTCCCTTCACTCTGAGCTTGACATTCAGAGGTATTTGATGAAAATCCAATTGCCCCACAGAGTTAGTCAGCTTTTTATCTTATCTGCATCATACTGCAGTGTTGTCAGAGTGTGTGTTTGTGTGACCATGTTCGCACACTCGCTAACATCTGCTTTGTGACCATGTTCCTAAAACCAAGTGCCCCCTTGTCTATCAGTGTCTTCCCTGTCTCTGGCAGCCAGCCTTGGCTGTCAGGCTAAACTACATCTGGCTATAAATGTCAACTGCACTTATATTAATATGCTTACATTCTTTATTTGCCCTTGCGAGTATGAGTGTGAGATAATGGCAGCATGTGCAGGCTGGCTTGTTCAAGATAACCCAAAGGACCTGGCCTGGTAGTCCTGTGTCTTCATCTGCTATGGCTTTACATCACCATTTTTGATGCCAGAAAGGGGAGCAATTTCATAAAGAGCCCAGTGTTCAGAGTTTTCCCCCCTGAGGTGGAGCTCACCTTACCTCACCGCACAATAGCTCAGTGGGCTCAGGAGTCAGGTCACAGATCTTCTTATTGTATCCCTAGCTCGAGGATGCCACGCCATGCAGATATGATTACAGAGAAGTGAACTGATCTTCACATTTTGATGACACAAGTCCTGATGTTTAATCAGTGGTTAGTAGAAATTTCTCTTTCTGGAACAACATTTTAGGAATCTCTTTGAACTCCTTTAGGATGTTGGTACTTTTAGTAACCATGCATACCTGTGGGTGTGTATTTAATAGCAGCAGAAGATCCTGTAGTGCAATTAAAAATGTCCTCACGTTTGGTAACTTTCAGGGCTATGAGGAACTTGTGGAATAGTGCAGAAAGGTTTTGAGTGTGTTAACATGTGTAAGTCACACACTGTATTAACACTTTGTTGCACATTTGCATGAGTAGACTCATAGTTTTTTGTTTGTTGCTGCAGTCAAAGTCAAAGTCACCATCAAAGATTGCTTTTTCTCAATTCGCAAAGAATGCGTGTGACTCACAGCACACCTGACATTGTCAGGAAGTGTTATTTCTGCTCCACTAAATGCATGATAACTCAAAGAAGTTTCTTATACTGTGAAAAAATAAATATTTTTTTGTTGTGTCCTTGAGAGAATGTAATACGAAAGCATGAAAAAGTATCATCTTGTGTACACTTGTGTACAGGGTATTGGTCTTACGGTGTTGTTTCCATGTGCTCCCATTTCAGAGCAGAAGCCCAAAGCACGGCGCCAGCACCCAGCACAGTATCGGCGACCAGGTCGACCACCTGTCCTTAGCCTCCCTGGAATCATTGGACACCATGTCTGAGGCTGAAGCGCCCACAAACTTCACCCGTGGCAGCCGGGTTCGTGCCAGCCTGCCTGTTGTGCGATCGGCCAATCAGACAAAGGACCGCTCACTAGGTATGCTGGATGTTATATTAGTTTTTGGGTTGATGGCAGTTCTGTTAGTTTGAGAAAATACCTTTCTCCCTGGATTAGGCTTGATCACGAAAGGCTTCAGTTGACAATCTTGTAATGCTCTATTTCAAAATCCCCAAATAAATTTGCTATAAGGAAGTTCCTGTATCTGCCCTGTTAAAGACTCATAGCATTAACTAGCATTAGTAATGTTTGACACGTTCTTTTAGCATAACCTTGGCATAACTCAAGAACTCTTTGTAATAGCTCCTAACCACAGTATGATGTCATTGTTTCACTAAAAGTCCAAATCGGTTCCTCTCACTCCATCCGTCTGCTAGTCTCCACCCTTCCTCCTTTCTCAACCTGAGCGCACAGTTTTGTTCTAATTAGTATTCATTTCTTCTGTAGTGAAAGATAGGAGAAAAGCATCCACAGTGTGCCATCGTGGTATTGACAGGATTAGAAACGGGTCGTCTTATCAACGTGCACGGTGCTACATTTGCATACATATGCAGCAAAGGCTCAGAGCTGTGCAGAATTAGGTGGCTGCGTTTGGCTGAGAGGGATGCAAAGTCTTAGAAAACTCTCCAAACAAAGTGTAGCGTCAGCGCAGCTCACAACTCGGCGAGGCGTCTGCCACGGGATAATAGGAAAGCGTCTGAGAGACTTTTGACCAAAGTGAAAATGAATGAAACTGCAGGGTGTCGTATTCCTTTCCCGTGCCAGTAGTGCCTCTTGCTTTTTCTGAAAAGTTTTTCTACACATGCACGTACACATGTCCCATCATTCTCTGTCTTTCTATCCAAAACATCAAGACAGAGTGTTAAGACAGTGGGGGGTTATGGTGTGAGGAAAAAGGGGAGGAGGAAAAAAGGGGGGAGGTGGGGTGCACCACTTCACAACACTGTCCCTCCCACCACTGCCTCTCACACACATGCACACACACAAACAGACAGGCACACGCTTCGCTTGGTCCCAGCGGACATTTGGGACTTTTAAGTATCTTTTTGGTGTAGTAGCTTCTGGCTTTTTGAGAGCATCTTAACAGCAAGCAGAAAAACAGGGATTCCTTAAAACCTCAAACGTGAGTATCAAAATCATCCTTAAGTGTGGCATCAAGTGTATTGAATTTCAAAGTCTTTATTTTGCGGGTGCATTATAGTCGTCTGCCTTTTCGCTGCATTTCAATCGCTGCGATGAGCATATATTTCTAGACTTTATTTGTTTTAGACTTTTGTGTCTTACTGGAGAGATGTGGAAAAACTGTGCCCATTTGGTCAGAAAAACCCACTAGCTATTTGTTTCCAGTCCTCAGTGAAACCAGGTGCTCAGGAATGCAGCTGTTAAAACTGAGCTATTCAACTTTGTCATAGCAAATAAGAGTAACTTTAAAGTACAGAGGTGTGCACGATGCAATCTCAATCAATGGTGCTTTGTCATCAAATGCTTTCGCCCTATTTCAAACATCTGGATGAAAACTACACGGCCGTTAACGTAACAGCTCTCAGGGGAAAGATGAATTTATTCTGCAAATGGGCACTTTGTTAAGTTTTTCCAACACAGGAACCCAGACAGACCAGAGAGAGAAAGCAACGGATAGACTCAGCAATTTTATTTCCTGGATTTGCCCTCTCTCTCTCTCTCTCTCACTCTCTGTCTCACTCTGTCTCGTGGTGCATGTAGGATCTTGTATAATATTTCACCAACATCTGGTAGCTTTTACTGGCTAGCTCCTTTTATGGGGTTACACCAAGTAAAACCAAACCCTCCTCTCCTTAAAGCAAGTTATTTCCAGTGCACAAATGCACAAGTGACAATTTTGCCTCTGCAGCTAATGAAATGTGACATTTTGGATGATTTCTTATGAAATATGAGCAAAACAACAACACGAGCTGATGGAACTGCTTTGATCATTTCATTACGTTCTATTGTTGCCACTGATTGCCTGTGAAGATCAGCACAAAGCCGTTTGAGGTAATGAATCGCAGATTGAAAGAAGAAATGTTTTTTTTTCTGTCCTCCCCCCCACCCCACCCCCCCAGCACTGTTTATACAACGGCTCTGTAGGCGTGTCCATAAATTTTGTTCAAGAGCCATCTGTTTTTCTAAAGCACAGTACAAATGCCACACCCAGGGTTCAGAGGTTCAAGCTTTGGTCTGTTTGATGCACAACTTGTACTGATCCACCCCCTAGTTTTGTCCTCTCTTCCTGACCCCACCCCCAAGCTCACTGCCTGTACCAAATAATTTATCCTGTGCAAGTGATAAGCAAAAGCTTCAGCGTAGCGCATTACAAATATTTAGCAAAAACCTGCACACAACATGATTACATTCATGCACTTTTGTTTTTGATGCTTTCCAAGCCACAGTTCAACTGAGAATAAATGCTGAAGCCCAATTCAGGGGCAAAAATAATGGCTCTCTTATCCGTTCGGGACTGTGCAGGAGTTGATCCAAATTGCACCAAAACAAAAAAAAAAAGAAGAAAAAAACCACCGGGAACTTTTGAAAATTTGAGTCTGGCCAGTAATCTGCACTGAGCGGCCATGACCAGACGTGTCACATGGGCCCTTGCCAACTCTTTTTACAAGGCTGGAATTATGCTGTTAGATATTTTTTTTAATTTTATTTTTTTCACCATTGAAGGGTTTTTAAACCAACCCAAACTTCTACAAGCGTCCCTTTTTGTTTAACCACCACAGTTTTGGCATTGTTTACTGCACTAACGTGAAATAACATAAGATTTTACTGCTATATATTGAGCATTCTTTGCACAGTCAGTACTCTATACAGTAGCTCAACAGTAAAAGCAGACCACTGGTTTGTAATTGAAATAACACTGACACAATGTCAGTGAGCTGCGTGAAATGTTCTATTTGTCTTGACAGATTAACACTGCATGCAGGGCTGAAATTCTTCAGGCCTTTAGAAAACATATGGGAGTGAAACAATGCGTCACTGCTAATGCAAGTTATAGAATTCAAATAGGGCTGTCTTAGTCACGGGAAACATTTGAAAGGACTAATCACCTAGTCTCCCTGCTTCCTGCCTTTAGGTGTGCTGTACCTGCAGTACGGAGACGAGACCAAACAGATTCGCATGCCCAATGAGATCACCAGCATCGACACAATCAGAGCTCTCTTTGTCAGTGCCTTCCCGCAGCAGCTCAACATGAAGATGTTGGAGTCACCCAGTGTTGCCGTGTACGTCAAAGACGACATGAGGAACGTGTATTACGAACTTGCTGATGTCAGGTAAAGATGCACTGTGTTTGCACGTGATAAACATGGTAACAGAAACGGATCGGGAGCATGTATTTGGCATCGCATACTGTGTTTATTATTTCCTTAGGTCGATCTGATATTGTCGTGTTCGTGTTGCTCTTGGATCGATATAACTAATGTTGCAAGTGACCAATCACACGTGATGTCAAAGTTTTAGGACATGGAAACAGCGTCACACAACACACCAAACCATAACCCCTTAACCATAACCATAAATATAGTCCCGTAACCCTAACCCAAACCACGACACAGCCTAACCCTCAAACCTAATCCTGACCCTAACCGCCCCCCTTTTTAGATGTTTTTCCTGAGTGGACATCGGCAGTTTTCTTCCCCAAGTCACAAAGCTATGACATCATAACAATGTGATTGGTCAGATGCAATGTTGATCCTGTACAAACATTATTATGGAACAATGTGAGGATATCGGATAGACCTATTTCCATTTACCCACTGTGAACACTTTCCATCCTCTTCCTTCTTCAGCTCTGCCTGAACAGGAAATGTCACTGGTCAGGAAATGGGCTCACTTCCACTTTCCTTCAATGTTAAAGAGAAAGTTAAAAAAAAAAAAGAGCATGAACTGTAAACAAACTAAGGTTTACTTTTAGCTGACTTTGATACCTTTCCTGGTGGTTGTTGCCAGTCTTAATGAAAAAATTTGACTTTGCAAATCTTTAAGAAATATTTGCTTTTTTTTTTTCATTTTAAAAGCAAAAGCATTGTGTGCTTCATTTATAAACATACATACCAGTACTATCCTACTTTGATATTCACCTGCATGCCTTATGAGTAATACAGCAGATTCTGTCTTCTGAGAAAGTAGGCAGCCATTTGTTGTAGTTGTTTTTCAGAAGGAAAGGCTTTACTCTTGAAGGCACACGAACTTTGCCCTTTGCCTGCAGAGCTCCTGCTCAAGTGCAATGTGTACTTTGTGAGTAATATTTTATCAGGGCTGTAAAAAAAAATTGTCTCGTCATAGCTTAAGGGCTGTACGAGCGACCATAATGCCATAGTTAAATTGAGCCCAGGACATGAAACAGCAGGTGTGCTCTCAGTTCATGTAGCAAGATAGTATTAGTTAATATTTTTATGGATTTTTAATATTTAGAGGGAATGTCGGATAATAGCGAACAGTCAGAGCCTCTGTCGGGGTATGTGCCCTTGGTGGGGCTGTTACAGAGAACCCGACTGAGGCAGGAACGGCCGCTGTCTGATGGCGAAATCTGGGCTAAATTCTTACCACTGAGCACCTCTTCCTCCTACAGGAACATCACAGACCACTCCTGCCTGAAGGTTTACCACAAAGATCCAGCACAGGCATTCAACCATGGACCCCGACCTACCAATGGCGATGTCAGGGTGAGTACTTTACTGTCCATAGCACAGCAGTGAAATAGTCTCATTAAAAGCGGCAGCTGAGTAGAGAAAAGATTTGCTGCAGATAGAATAGCGAGCCCGGTCTCCGGTTTCTCACATCTTGTATGCAGTAAAGGGAAGGAATGTCCCCCTGCCTCTTGTTAATCTCTTCAGAGGGGGTCTTGTATTGTTCTCCCAGGGTCCTGCATTTGGCCGTCCTCTACACGCTCCGGTGCGACTTGTTTAAGGGGCAATTGGACTCAGCTCTCAGGACTATTTCCTCTCTGAATTCTTCCTCCCAATATCTGCTCTAATCTCTTTTCTTTTATTCTGATTCTATCTTGTTTATTTCCTGCTGATGTAACAAACTAAAACCCCCAAAGAGCCTTTTTTTCGCCTACTGTTCCTCCTCAGATCCGCTCCTCTAATCTGCCCTGACCAGTCATCTGTCCTCGCTTTGTCCGTCTGCCAGTTACAGTTAGCATTTTGGCACAATTGCATTGCTTTAAATATTAACCCCCACTATACTAACACTACATGCAGTGCTGCGTATGGTCACCTAAATTTAAAGTGAAATTGGTTAAGTTTAAAGGAGTGATGAGGCAGCTAAGGTGATGGTTTTAAGAGCACTTCATTCAGATGCCACAGTGACATTGAGGTGCTGCAGAAATTCTTTTTTATTCTTCGCTGCTGACAGGCAAGTTGCTGACTTTCTCCAATCGGGTCCTTCAAAGGGAGGCGAATAAAAGACGGCTCTTCAAAAAAAAAAAAAAAGATGGCTAAATAAGATACTGAAAAAGTGAAAAGGGGAATCTTACTTTGAGAGCTTAAAAGTTTCAAAGTACATCAGCAGAAAAACTCCAATTGTGTAGAGAAGTTTTTCCCCAACTTCTTTTTTTTTTTGCTGTTGTTAAAATTTTGGTTCTCGTCGAAACTGCAGGTGTTAAAAAAAAAGAGAGCTTGGAACTCGATGAACTGAAATGTATGAAGCAACTTCTTAAAGGTTCCTATGCAAACACAGTGCAATGCTAACATAAAGTAAAAGAAAAAGATTGTTGCTGTCATTTTTTAACCCAGCAGCAGCTGACCCAGATACAGAGGATGGCTGTGGGGTGGTGTTTTAAGTGTAAACACCACAGAAAACTACCTAAAATGCCATTTATTGATTCCCACTCAAGAGTTTGCTTCTGTTGCAGTCAAGTCGCTTTATTTAAATACAACAACAGAGGTTGATGAACGTGCTGCGCATCAAGCAAGCTGTTAAGCTGTTGGCAAACTTCCCTTCCTTTACAATCATATTGAAAAGCTCTAACACTCAACACAGTTTTCAACTTATTATTTATCAGCCTCTCTATTCTTGGCAGTGTTAAACATTCAACCTCTTTTATTGAGGAAATAGAAAATTGGCCGCACAAAGGAAAAAAAAGGGTGTCGCTAGGGCTTAATTAGCACCTGTTCAAACAGTGTTTCACTGAAGGTGCACCACACATGTGTTTGGGCCGCAGAGAATGCCCTCGCCTTGCAGGGATGCCAGGCCTCAGATCTGATTCAAATTGAAATCTGCAGTCATCTCGGCTATCGATTTGAAAATGTCTGGCAAGCGAAACTTACATAGAGCTGTCTCTGGTTATAAAAACAACTGCTGCAATAATACGAGGTAGATAGATGTACACAGGAATGGACACGGAACTTGATAAACTTCAGGCGGTCAAATAACTCTCCTGCAATTCCATTTCAAAAGTTTGACTCATTAATCTTTACCAATACATATATTTATATATGTATGGGATAGTGCCTCAAGCTTTGCTTTGTATTCATACAGTATAGTCAATAGTGGCTGTCGACAGAGACCGTATGTACACACCAGTTGAGGGGATGTTTTGAAAACAGTAGCTGAGTTATTAGCTAACCTCTGATTTGCTCTCCTAAGAACAATCCACCATTTTTTCTTTTGTCTTTGTCCAAAAAAAGATGACAGCTCATCTTGTATCAACTTACAATTAATTAGTGTTTTCTTTCACCAACACCATTTAGTACCCTACAGCACATCCGCATAGTACACTCAGCCATTCGATCAGCTCTTTAAATATTTACAACTTTCTTCATGAACATTGCAGCTCGACTCTTCTTTATCTGGCCTGCTTTGTTCGCTGTGAGGCTCTGAAAAGTCTGTGAATTAGTCGGGAAACTCGCTCCAACTCTGACAGGCCAAGAGATTGAGGCAACTTTTGTTAACTCCTACTAGACATGCCGCTCTCATAATTGGAAGCTTAAGAGAATGATGGAGAAAGGAGGAAAAAAAAGGTCTGGGAGATAAATTGCATATTTTTTGCCTGATATGGTTTCGCGTGCGCTTGTTTTTCGAGCTTCTACTTCTTTGTTTTGTCACAAAGCAGGCAGATCTCTGTACTGTAGGGATATTTTTAGATGTTTCGGTCGGTGTTTCAAAGGTGCAACATCTGTTTGGGATTGAGAGCTGCCTTTTGGCTAAAATTGTTCTTATATGGCTTTGCAGGGATTGGAAAAGCAGTCAGATGTTATTTAGGGCTTCAGAGCAATTTCTACACGAGGATGACTTTTCTTTTTTATGAGCGTGTGCAAGTCTTTATAGTTTTGTGACGGTCAGCAGTGGCTCTTTGCGCTGAAGTCTTAGTGTTTTGCTGCTTGGTTGGACTTGTTGCAGTCATATTTACTGCTGCGTGAACTTTCCCTGCTACAAAGTTTCTTTCTTTTTACTGTTGTCACCACAGCCAAGCCTGAGCTCTTTTGTTACTGTACTCTCTGTGTGCATTTGTTGTTTTCCAGTTTGCACCTACTCTGGCACACACAAGGGTCACACCCACTTTATTGTTCACCTCACTGTGCTAATCTTTGTTGGCACTCTGGGAAGTAATAAATAATGACGAGACTGAAATAACAAAACCTTTGCGTTACGTTTTTGACTCGTCTTGACTTTTAGGTGAGACCTGTGAGTCATACATCGGACAAACAATAGTTTGTGTGTTTGACGGGAATAGAAAGTTAGACTGGAAAACCGATTCGATTCATACCCACTTGTGACACCCTGTAGGAGAGTGTGTATCCATGAATTCTGTCTGTGTTTATAATTTAGGTTTCAAATGTGCTTGTACATGTTTAGTTCAGTAAAAAAGAGAGCGAGAGAAAAACAAACTAAAGAAAACCCAATCTAAAATGAAATGACTTTTATTGTTTTGTTGCTTGTTCTTTCTGAGCCGATATTAAATTTCCATTATTGCTTTCACTGCATGGCTGGCCAAGGGTGCATGTTGCATATTAAGTAACTTTTTGTTTGCAGAGGAAATAATTTAATTCTTTTTTTATTCGTTAAGCAAAACACAGTCTTGCTTTATGCAAGGTGTCAAAATAAAAGTAGAGGAAGTAATGTAAAGACTGAACACTGTGCACCTTTAAGACTTTTGCACTGACTATTCTTCTATATCCCTTAACCAAGAAAGGTGTTCCAATTAATTGAGGTTAGGTTTTTGCACATTAGCCTTCAAAGAGCTTTAAGGTGGTTGAGCTAAAGAACTGTGGGCTGTATTTGCTATTCAGTCAGACAGATACTGTTGCAAATTAGCCAAGGTACTGTCTAACCCCGAAGGCTTCCACGAACCTCTGGTGGCGCATTTGCAACACTTAACCTCACCTTCTTTCAAAAAGCAGAAACTGTGCAATTTTTTTTAACAGGGAGAATAGCCTTGTACTTCATGCAATATTGTTTTATATGGAAGCCTCTGGGCATGATATCAAGGGCTTAGAGTGATATGCAGTGTGTCCAGGAATTGTGTAACTATTTTCTACTTCTGGGAAAATTTGCTGACAGTATATATTCTTTGAAAAGCAACAGTGTAAGATAGATAGATGTTTTTGTTTTAAGGGCAGCTCCAGTCTAAAGTTACAAGATCTACACAAAGTAAGAAGTAACTGAAGTTGACAGAAATATGCATCTTTAATTTAAGATCTACTAAAAGAAGGAACTTTTTGTGTACTTAAATCATTTTTTTGTGTGTTTTTATGATTTTTTTAAAAAAAAATTTCTAGATGCACAGTGACATGGCACTTGCCGGCCGTGATGGCCAGCCCCCTCTAAGGCATCCTCCCATGGTTCCCCCGTCCCACCACCCAATGCAAGCAGCACTCCCCCCAACGCCCCACTCTATGCCTCCATCCCCCTCCAGAATCCCATTTGGCCCACGGCAGGGCTCTTTACCTGGGAGCGCCACCATCCCAAGGGACAGAATCTCCAATGCCAACCCACCGGCCCGCTCTAACTCTCCTTGTCCCAGCGCCATCCTAGAGAGACGAGATGTCAAGCCAGATGAGGATTTGGCTGGAAAGAGCCACACTCTTTCTAGAGGGAATGAGGGCTTGTACGCAGATCCATACCTCCTCCAAGAGGGACGAATGGGCATTGCTGCAGCCCATGGACCACACCCCAGCCCTGGCCTTGATGGTCCAGAGCATGCCATGGGGGGATTTCACCGTGCCTCCATCCGCTCCACAAGTTCTTATGGTGGACCTAGCCCTACAGACACTATAGATCACCCCTCTCTGTACAGGCAGAAGTCCAGAAACAGCCAGCTGCCGACTTTGGGTTCTAAGACACCTCCGCCGTCCCCTCATCGGATGACTGAGGTACGAATGATTGACATCCATGGTGGACCTCCTCATGGCATGCCATCTCATAGTGTTACCATGGAGAGAAGCTCGCCTGTGCGCCAGTCCTTCAGGAAGGAAGAAGTAACGGGGACAAAGCCACGGAACAGCATGGGCTCACCTGTGGTTCCAGACCTCCAGGGGCCAATCCCAGCTGCCAGTGACCATCAGACACGGTAAGCTACCAGAGCAGAGGACACAGTGTTGCATATAGTAGCGGGGGGGGGGGGGCTTGTTAAAATAACTACCGAGACATTGCATGGGAGCATGGACTAACTCTGCATCCCAGTGTCACCCTAACCATGAACTGCTGCTTTCCAGTACCTGGTCTGACTCTGTTTCATCATCCATGTGTGAAGAATAAATATAACCTGCCCTCTCACTATCTTCAGCATAAAGATCTGCACATGAAGCACATTTTGATGAGTTTGGTTTGTGTATACAGCCAGCTCTTGCTTATCTCGCTAACTCGAATTCTGGAGCTGATATTGTTGATGAGCGTGTAAGCCCAGGCATAGCTATCACTAGTGAAACAGGATAGTATCTAAAGGCTCTATTAATCAGTGTATATTTAAACAAGAACACCCCTTACAGACTCTATTCAGTTTCAGTTAATCTACCAGATATTTTAGTACCTGGGTTAGGTTTGTCTTCTCAGACTGAGAGCACATAAACACAGAAAGGGTGCAAGAGGGATGCTGGCCTCTTAGCAATGCTTAACTAGAAAGGAGGGTACATGGGCTCTGTGTGTAACTTGGAAACCCAAAGCAAATACTGGCCAGGTTGAAAAAGTATTTGAAATGGCCAGTCATGCAGATCAGGCCAGACCACCTGGGAAGCCCAAAACCTCCATTAGAAATGCCCTGGGAATATCTGAAAGAGTGAAGGAATTTGATTGGGAAAGTACCATTCTTCACTTTCAAAATAAACTGTAGTTGTCATAAAATATACTCGTGTAAAATATTGTGGTCATTGTTGTATTCACATAGACTTTGTGTCTGCACTGTGTCCTTAACGTGCCCCGTGCCTCAAGATAAATTATGAATAGAACAGAATAGCCCTTTATTGTCACTGTACATGTGCAATGAAATCGTGGGTGCTCCAAATAGACTCTGCAGGAAATACAAATAGCAAGGCCACATAAATAAATGACAAAACAAGATGAAGGCACACTAAATAAGGCACATCTTATGTGCCTTATAAAGCAAAAGCAGTTCTGTTGCCAGTTCCCTCACCTGCCTGCAGTGTAGGCTTTCTTAATGCAGTGTCATACAGTTCAAATAATCCTTTCACTCTCTTTTTGGCAGTCGCCACATGTGACTCAGTCAAAAAAACAATATGACCTGACCACCTTGGGTGTCAAGCTTAGGCTTGTCAAGAAGTTGTCTGTCTTGTTTAGGACACGAGCTTTTGGGGTTTTTACATTTTTTTTATTTGTAATTCAGAAACGATTCATATTTACCAGAGACAACATTTACTTGTGGCATATTGCAAATCAATTCCAAAACAAAAGAAAAATCTCTGCTCTGTAATCATCTCACAAAATGGCAAAACCTTTCATGGTTAGGTGATTAAAAGCGATTGATTATTCTGTTTACAACCCTCCCGTTTTCATTCTGAGCTAATATTTGCTCCAGTGGCAGCTGTCATATCCAATAGGCCTCGGTGTTGAAAGCAGAATTTTTTGATGTGTCTGCAGAGAACGAATGAAGGCTATGGAACAACAGATTGCCAGCTTGACTGGTCTTGTTCAGCATGCACTTTTAAAGGGCCCAAACACTAGTGGCACCAAGGAGCCTCTAAGGTAAGCAATCACAGTATAGGACAGAGTGGAGGCATCGAGTGAAATGGACTTTTCAAAAGAAAAGCCTGGTGATTCAGTCAGAGGAGGAAGGATAAATTATCCCTTCAATAATGGCCATATCAGACACTCAGGTAAAATAGTGTCTGCTAAAAAGGAAATCGGTTTGAATGTGAATCTGTTATCGAAGCCTTTTGCCCTCTAGATAAATGGCCACTATTGTTCATCTGGCTGCTTTTCAGCTCTTTCTCGTCTTTATTTATATTGTTTGGAAATGTTTGCTTAACGCCTAGTCTAAAATGTCTGCTGTGAATTTGAATGTAGCTACTGTATGCACTGATGATGAAGCTTGTTAACATCATTAACATCATTTTAACCTTTCTGGTTTGTCAGTCTGCCCCATCATTCTTTATTTTACCTTGTTTGTCCTTACTAATATCAAGCTGTAAATCTAAAGTGCTGCAAAGTGCTGTTTATTTCTGTTACACAAACTCTTGTCCGATAAATTTCTCTCTGACTGCAGCGAGAGACCCCCGAAGACATCATCTCCAGCCCACAGTGCTCATAGTTCAGGTTAGTATCTCTTCTATTATGTGGGATTTCTGGAGTTTTTTTCTTTTTAGTTGATATAAATGCCATAATATCATGTGCAGACAAGCCCACACATCAGTGTCAGTCAGCAGTCTGCAATGAACAGCACTGGAGGGAGGAAAAACAAAGTCAGGCTTCTTTGCTTGTCATCAGTTCATATTTCCTTGCGCTCCTTTACCCAGTTCATCCAGTTTAATAGGAGTTAAGAGACGAGAGCCAGCGCAGCTAACACAAGCCCCACAAAGCACTACTTAAAACAAGATGCTATTACTTCTCAAGCCTGCCAAGATGATTCAGCGATTCAATCTCCGCGCCGCAGCGTTCTGCGGCCAGACCTTAGCTTGATAAAAAGATCTGCAACCTCACCAGTGGCGAAGCAAAAACACAACGCTATTTATGTGTCTTGAAAGCTAAGCTCGTGTCTCAAGAAACATTTCATGGAGTATGTCGTTTTCAGAGGGATTTACTTGTCATGTGTTTGAGCAAATCTTCAAAACATCAGAAAAGTTACAGGGTCTTTTTTGATCTCGCCAGACAGCCTCTAACATGAAAAAACGTGAGCATATTTGTTTAATCCCTCACATGCTTCTTGATCGTCACCACCCAGCGTGTCCTTCTTTCAAAATATACATTGTAACCAGTAGTTCAGGTCTGTTCACGCTGTAAATAGATTTGGGGGATTACAAAGACAAAAGTGTGTTCTTTCACTGCGCCATGGTATATGTCAAAAGAATTCAGTTCATCCTCTTAACTAAAATGGATGGACACTACTTTCTTTGTATTTTTTTGAGTTTAAAGGATTGGCTGCTCTTAATTACACAAGAAAATTTGTACTTGCCTCTTGTGGTATCCATTCTTGCAGATGGTTTTGACATTTGCCTCAAATATACAGTGACAGACATTCATTTCATAAATCTGATAAAAATACAGCACAAATGCACAGAAAGAATTTCCAAGTTACTGTGGATAATAAACAGACCTTGAAACTGCTCTCTACCAGAAAATTGGCCCAACTTCAACTATTTATATAGTGAATTAAGATCCCAGGTTAATTGACACACATTTTTGAAAAGATATGTTACTGTAAAACTGAATGCATGCAGTGTTAATTTAGCTACACAGGACACAAAGTCAAGCTCAGCTGACCTCACTGTCATCCCACATCAGCTGACACCTCTGCTGATATCCTTTGACTAGTTTCAGGTTTATTTAAAAAGGACAATGCACGATAATTAAGATGAGCACTTAGATCCTGCAATTGCAGTCCCTGATGGCATTCATATATGTTAAAAGAAAAAAAATGGAAGCACATCTGTGTATAGATAAGAGCTAGAAGATGAGGTAATTTCAGCTGTTTATTTCCCAAGGGGTCACCACAGCAAATGAATATGCCCTCCCATTTATCTAGGCTTGTTATCGGTACTAGCCTGTGAAACCCTGAGGCTGGATTTGTGTTTCCTCCCAGGCTCAATCTTTTAACTTTTGGAAGGCAAATGTGTTAACAACTAAACAACAAAGTCCCTAGATAAGAACCAGGAGAACATAAATACTAAAACAAACACAACAAGTGGGGTGCAGTATTAAAATTGCTTTAGCCCACCTACAGTTGGTGCTCATTGCAAGCTGCTTTGCAACCCACTCAAGCTCCTCCTTTACATGCTGTGTTTGACAAAACCAGTGTCGTCTGTTGTGACTGAACGTGTATTTCTATAGGGTCATTACATTTCAATCTCATGGTGCAGTTTGAAATATTGCTCTTACTTTCTATTTAGGGACTTCCACCATGGATTTAAGTTACTTTGGTTTCCATGGTTTCAGCCTGTTCTTCATCTTTAGCAGTGACTGAAATAATTAGTTGACAGCCATTTCCAGCTGTAACTAATAAGGGTGTTAACATATCTATAGTACATATGAAGTAGAAATGATGCCACAAAAATTAGAAGAAATCTTTGCTGAACATTTGGGAAAAAGTGTGTTTACAGGCATTTACAATCTGCCCGCTAATACGTAGAGTGAGTGCTTGAAAAAGGGAAAAAAAAAATCTACACTTTAAAGCCTCCCTAATAATGTTTACTAGAATTTTTACAGTTCATAAGAGTTATTATGAGCTTTGATTTCAAAGGTTTTAGTATGTACATATGGGTCGTAATTTTCAGAAAACAAACTTAAGCTGTGCTGTGTGGGTTTTTTTTTTCTTCTTCTCTTGGTCCAGGTGGTTCTCCGGTCTTGTCTCCCAAGAACAGTGCAAGCCCACCAGACAAGGGCTCAGTTCCACTCAAAGTAAACCTCCTGCAGTTCAGGAAGAATGTTTCTGACCTCAGGATGCAACTGCATCAGATGAGGCAGCTGCAGGCAAGACTTTGTCTCCATTTTAATCAAATTAAACTGTTGCGTTTGTCCACATCTCCAGCTGTGTATATGCATGTGATTAAGTGTGATACCCAAAAAGCCATATATCTCGGTTTACTAGTCCAGGTCCTCTAATAACTTTCACTTTGCTATGTACATCACTTCAGCTCCAGAATCAGGAGGCATTACGGGTGCAGCTGAAGCGGGCAGAGCAGGAAATCAGTAATAAACTTGCAGAAGCAATGCGGCGTATGGAGGACCCCGTTCAGCGACAGAGAGCTGTGGTAGAAGAGGACAGGCACAAGTACTTGGGTCTGGAGGAGCGTGTCCTCACACAGCTCAGGTAAGACTGCTCAGGACTCGCTCATTACCCAACACAACAGATGCTGTTTTGTTTAAATTGTGTCTAAAATGGATAGACACGTTTGTTTGCATTCAACAAAGTTTTTCAAAAGTCTGACAGTTGATTTAGTGCACATATCTGCAACTACATTTGCTGTGCCTTTGTTTATAGGAAGCGCCCAAAAGGCTTCGCTGTTATCAGCTCACCTGAGCCATTCAATCCTAAACGCTTTGACAAGCCAACACCCTCTAAATTACAGCCCACAGGTTTATGCAGGCAAGCTACGCCTGCCTCTCAGAGACAGCGGTCTAAAACAATGGACTCAACTGTGGAGTAATTACTCACCGCCCTGCTCTTATTTGAATTCATTCGCCTCGTCTTGCCAACAGGGAGCAGTAATTGAATCCTTTTTATTTGGATGTTTACAGACAAGGTCAAACAGTGTTGTCTTGCTAGACAGCGGCAAACATATGCTCCAATAAACACAATCATAGCAGTTCTTGGATTCTGGGAAATGAACAGGAGGAAGTCGGGGCGCTGAAGCTGTGTTAAGCCCTTTGTTACACTTGGTATGCAGCCATTTGTGAGTCAGCAAAACACAGCTCCTGGCCCCTTAAATAAGGCATGGCAATTAGAGCTGCTTGGCTTTAGAACCATTTGGAGTGCGTGGTGTGAAAACTGCTGCCCTCTTGAGAGAATTCAATCTATCAGACCATATTTTGTAACCTTTTTTTAAAACTCACCCCTTAAAATATGGAAAGTCATACCATAAAAACACAGGAAAACCTTAATGGAGTCACACAGAAAAAGAAAAAAAAATGTATTAAATCTGACAGTGGTCATTTTCAGTGGATTAAAGCTGAACAACTGCAGTATTTGAAGCTATTTTCGCCTTAAGTGGAATTCTTAGTGTCCCATACTGCCCGTTTCAGTTCACGAGAAAGAATTATGAAAGAAAGTAAGAAAAGTTCCAAATTCCTCATGCAAATGCAACGCAAGTGGTCTTTAAAGGCTGCCTCCTATACCCTGGCAAACAGAGGGATACATTATTGAACAAACAGTATTTTTGTTCTGTTGGAGGCTTCATAAAAAAGGAAAAATCCATCATTCTCACTACCAAAAAGCCTTTGCATAGAAGGGCATTTAACACACTGTCTCCTTGTTGCCTTTCCTAATCCCTTCAGGGGACTCCTATAAAAGAGTGTTTCTCAAGGGTACCTGGCCACAATGAAATGTGATTTTAGTTCCCTCTCATGCAATCCAACACTGCAGACAATGTTATCATACAGCACATTTCCCTTTGGAACAGCCAGCTTTCTCTAGCACCGGGATGGCTCTCAGGCAGGGTGATATGATTTCTATGTGAGGAAGTGCTTTCTCACAAATAAGCCCTCATTCAGTGTGTAAATATTTGGGGGTTTGGGATAAGACCAGATCCAGTCTAGATTAAGCAATATAGTGTAGACAGGAAAGAGGACTGCACAGTTAATATGTTTATTCGCAGCTTAAAATATGAATTTTACATATCATATGCACTATTGCTTTTCATGCATCAATCCCAGACACTTTTCCTACCTTTCCCCAGTTTTGGCTTATGATCTTTAAGAAACATGATTGTATCCTGCCCCCTGGTGTTTATACAGTGAAAACAATCATAATAAGAGCCTATTTATGCAGGGTTTTTTGGCTTGTTTGTTTTGTTTTTCAAGTGTACACTCATTAGATGCCAATTTTGGGCCATAATGGCATGATAGCATCACACAGTTTCTGCACATTTGTCGGGTGCGCATCCCTGTTGAGAATCTCCCATTTCACCACATCTCACAGGTGCTCTAATGCATTGAGGTCTAGAGACTGAGTACAGAAAACTCATTGTCATGTAAGAACCCAGCTGGAGATGATTTGAGCTTTGTGACATGGTGTGTTATCCTGCTGGAAGCAGTCATCACAGGATGGGTACACTGTGGTCATAAAGGGATAGACATGGTCAGTAACAATAGTCAGGTAGCCTGTGGCGTTTAAGCAGTGCTCAATTTGTAGTAAGGTGCTTATACTATTCTATGCCATTAAACCACATGAACCACTGATACAAAGCAGAATAGATCCATGTTGTTTATGCCCAGTTCTAACCCTAATATCTGAATGTCTAAGCAGAAACTGAGACTTATCAGACCAGGGGTTGTTTTTTTTGTTTTGTTTTTTTGTTTTAGTCTTCTATTCTCTTAATTTTGGTGAGGCTGTGCCAATTGTAGCATAATTCTGCTGTTCTTAGCTGACAGGAGGCTTCCAGAGATACTGTTGTGTATATCTTGGTCGCAGTGAGTGGTTATTTGAGTTATTGTTGCCTTCCTATCAGTTCAAAGCAGATTGGCCATTCTCCTTTGACTTCTGGCATCTTCAGGCATTTTCGCCCAGAGAACTGCTACTTACTGGTTATTTTCTCATTTTCAGGCTATTTTCTGTAACCCGTAGAGATAGCTGTGTGGGAAAATCTCAGTAGATCAACAGTTTCTGAAATATTCAACCCAGCCCGTTTGGTACTAACAACCACGCCACATTCAGATTCATTTATATCACCTTTCTTCCCCGCCCTGGTGCTCAATTTGAACTGCAGCAGGGCATCTTGACCATGTCTACATGCTGCAACGCGATTGGCTGATTAGATATTTGCAGATATGAACAGGTGTACCTATCAAAGTGGCCAGTGAGTGAATTTGCCAGGCAGTTTTTTTTTAAAAGTCACTCAACTCTAGATTACTTTCTGTTTTTTTTCTGCAGCGAGCTGGAACAGTATGTAGGTTCTCTGCAGAATGACTCAGCCACAACACACAGAGCAGTGACCCTAAAAGATGTGGAAGAGGGAGCGGTAACCCTGAGGAAGGTGGGAGAATCTCTGGCAGGGCTTAAAGGTATGGTGACTGCCTTCCCATTACATTAATGTTCCTTACTCCAGTATACTTGCATTATCATTCAGCTTTGCGCAGTAAAAATCCATGCCATAGGAGTATTTTACAATTTTTTCCCTCTCTGTTTAAATTTCATCAGGAGAGTTCCCAGCCCTTCAGGCCAGAATGCGGGCTGTGCTCAGGGTGGAAGTAGAAGCTGTCAAGTTTTTGAAAGAAGAGCCCCACAAATTGGACAGTATGCTGAAAAGGGTGAAGAGCTTGACCGACACACTCAGCAGCCTGAGAAGGTAGGGGGGAAATGGAGAATGAAAAGATAAAGCAGGGAAAAATGAGAAGATGTGTTGGAGTATGGGAGCTGAGTGCGAGAGGGGAAATTGAAGATGAAAACAAAAAGCACTTTGCGGGGCTCCTCGCTGGGGTCTATGATGTGGGAGATTGTACCGTTTGATTATAGTGGCAAGCCAGCCTTTATCCCATCAAAGAGGTCATTCTGTGCGGACAGAAGGCTTTGGCATCCAGATTTACTTCCATCACCTTCACTCAACCGATAAGTGAATTAATTTGGTGGGCAATGCAGCACCTAATTTCCATTTTAATACAGATGCCAAACTGGCTCCTGCTCTCCCTCTGTTTTTTTTAACCAAAAATATGCCCTGTTGCCAAACCCACCTGTTGCATTATAGATTTTGTGCTGGTTTATCCCTCATGTCATTAAATATGTAGTATTATTTGTCTACTTTACAGCAAGGTTTGATGTAGTATAGTCCTAATAACCGTTTTAAAAGACCATAACTTGCGAATACAAATTTCTGAGCGTTGTTGCACAAACATTTCTTTCGCCAGTGTTTCTGTATGATGTGTATTTCTTATTGTTTCCCTTCCCTCTGCAGGTGTGCTACTGAGTTTTCTCAGAAAGGGCCTGAGCTTTCCAGTAATGCCACAGTGGACAACAGCCCCGCAGTAGCAGTAGACACCCCTGCAGATGTTTCTCCAGCACCAGGCCAACCTGACTCAACCTCAGCCCCACTAGAGCCTCAGAGCTCCACCATCAAATCCGAGGTGATGCCTTCATCCCCGGTGGTCATCCATCATGTCCAGAGCTCCCCGGTCCACATTCAGCAGTCCCAGCAATCTGCGGCTTTGACATCTCAACCTAGTCCCCCAGCCACACCTAGCCCCACTCATATCTCCAGTCCCAACCTTAGCAAGAGTCAAGACCGTGAGGCTCCCAAAGCGGTTGACACAGATCCACCGAGTCCCACCCGCTACAAAAAGACTCATGGGAACAGTAATGGAACAGCCAGCCAGGATCTTGTGATAGAAGAGCTTCAGAGCAGTAAGGAAAAGAACAAAAGCAGAGCTGTTTCCATAAAGGTATGTTTACCCACCTTGTAATTTTCATTTACGTGTATATGCTGACATTAGCCTCAGTTTATTTTATGAGTGTCCTAAAAATCTCTAATGTATTTAATGTATTGTTTTTGTTTAGAAATAATAGTCCCTCATTTAGTTTGCACTTCTGACAACCGTAAACTTTCTCTGACTCTTTGGTATGTTTGTTTTGTCTGCACTGTCCAGGCGGCAGAGAAAGAGTGGGAAGAGAGGAGGCAGAATATGGGTCATTATGATGGAAAAGAGTTTGAGAAGATCCTACAAGAGGCTCAGGCAAACATGATGAAGGGAATTCCAAGTCTAGAAGTAGAAGAGAACACAGCACTGCCTGCTGCTGGTATTGTAGAAGAAGACATTCACAACCCTGTTGAGCTACCATCAGGTAGGAATCACACACAAATGTAACTTAAACAACTTTTTTTTTGCTTTATCTACATACCTTAATGTTGTTTCCTATTGCCATGTATGACAGAAGAGCCCCAGTCAGGCCCGCAATCAGACAAACCAGCAAAGAAGGGGTCCGAGAAACTCCCTAAGCCTCTGGTGGAGAAATCTGCCAAGCCAGCACTAGAGAAACTCTCCAAAACTGCCATCAAGCCAGCAACCACTGAAAGCTTGGCAAAACAGGGGTCTGAAAAGCCGAACAAGTCCCCACCACCGCCTCCGCCAAGGAAAACCTACCCCAGCTCCAGCTCAGGCATGACCACTACACGCTCTGGTGAGGTTGTCTACACCAACAGGAAGGAGTCTGTCTCGACTCAGGTTGGTGCTTTAAAAGGTTGGAGAGAGTAAAGAAAACCATTCTTGTGCCTGTGCGCTAAGCGTACAGCCAAGTGGGATTTAGTTAAGCCACTACATTAAAACTGGAAGAAAAGGGGAAAGAGCTATTTAGGCTTTCTCCAAAGTGTAAAGGTTGCCATTTTCAGGAGAGATACTGTTTAACTTTGCCTTTAACTCTGTCTTTACGCTCATCCAACATGAATGCAGTATCCATTTTCATTTCCACAAACTTTGCTGCTTGTTAAAAATAAAAGAATAATTTCCCTCACATTATTTCTCACAGGAGGGCGAAGAGGAGGCCCCACCTCCCTCTCCCCAACCCAAGCCCACCAAGGTTGCGCCGGAGACCAAGCCGAAGCCAGCCACTCCTCCCCTGGTTACGAGAGAAGAGGAAGATGAAGGGGACAAGATCATGGCAGAGCTCCAGGTTAGATCCATATACAACACGCACACTCACACGCTCCTTTCAAACATGTGCAAATACAATCAATTTAACCGACATATGGAAATTAGGATGCTGGATTTGATTGATTTCTGCGTTGTGGGTTGCTTATCATTTCTTCCTGTGGTGGGTGACTTCCTTGGAAGTGGCAAAGGATGGGTGCTGACAGCTGCCGAAGAAATAACTTTCATTGAACTTTACTGCACTTTTTTTTTAAATTGTGGCGTTTTACAGCTGTGCAGTTGTGAAGATACTCCTCAAAACCCTTGTCCCGTTGTTCCCTTCACCTTTCTCCAATCTTCAGGTTTTCCAGAAGTGCACAGTTAAGGATGTAGGGGTGAAAAATTTGGTAGAGCCCACCGCTCGAATTGAACCACAAATCAGAGAGCTAAGACCGGGGGCTTTATTACCCCTCAAAGAGAAAAAGGTAAAATATATGTCCCGGTGCAGCTGCCCAGCTAACTGCCTGCCTTTGCCAACTGTATGAAACAATCAATGGCTGTGTCTTAACACTCCTCTGCTCTTGCTTTTGCTCAAGAGAAACCTGTAGCAGCTGCCTCCACAAAGCTTCCTTTCCTTGCTGCCTGAGTTTTCCTCCCTCTTTTGATCCTGCTGAATATCAGAGCTTTAATTTTTTTTTTCAGGATTAAGTCTGCATAAAATTGAGCTTCTGAAAAGATGCTGTGTCTTTTGTATGCCTGGTCTAGACTATGATGTGTTTCAGAACTCTCACTTGTCTTTTCATCCAAATCAATAAAAACCTCAGCACTGTACCTTACAGGCTATTAAATCGTCTCGTGTCTTTCTTTAATGACATTTGACAATTGCTTGATATGCCCTAGATTTTTGACAATTGAAAGAACATCAGTAAAATGCACTGTAGACACGATCTATTTTTGCAGACTTGGTTCACTAGAGGTCAGCCTGACCACTTTGCATGCTCCTTCTCCTCTCCTATACTTTTCTGAGGAATGACTTTTCCGTTTCTCTTTGCACAACTTCACCTCAGTTCGCTTTTCCCAGCTTTACACCTCCCTAACCAATCATTTGAAACATGTTGAGTATTACTTTTTTAGTCGAAATGATAAAGCAAATAGGACTAGGTGGGTGAAGTGCATCAACTTTTACTAGTTTTAAAAAGATGAACTGGAAGTATCCGCGAAACAAATAAGAGGTATGCTATTTGGTTAAGCTTATAATCACAGTAAATAGTACATTACATTAAAGTTTACTGTTTTGCTGAAATTTTAAAAATTTAAATTATTTCACTGAAAAAAAGAGAAACAAGTTAGGAACATAAGCTGTATTTAAAGATGTACATAGGCTCTGTGATGTCCCCCATTAGATCATGGGGTCCTTTTAAGCCGCCATTTGAGCACTTTGTAATTTTTTTTTT